ATAAACAGTTTATAATAAACTGCGCTATATAAATATAAATAATTGATTGATTGATTGATTGATTAATAGAAAGGGTTTGTACAGATTATGATTTTATTGCAGAAAATATTTTTGTTACGTAAGAAAGTGTTACTGAGAGAGAAAAAAGCCGTTTTTGTGTTACTTAATACTCGAACGGATACAAAATAAAATAAAACCAAACACTGCAACCTACAGATATTTGAGGTTTAATTTGATTGTAATTTTGATTGAAGTTCAGTTTAAAAAAACTAGACAATAATATCCATTTTATTGCCGTGAAAATATTTTCATGAATTGATTGACGAGAACAGCTCGGGCCCCTGCAAATCGACAGACCCTTAAAAATCGCCGGGCTCTTCAATATCGCCGGGCCCCTAAATATCGCCGGGCCCCTGGGCATTTGCCCCCCTTGCCCCCCCCTCTCGGCGGTACTGCTGTCAGATCCTGATTTTTAAAGAATAATAAAAAAAATTGTTACTACGTTGACTCCAAGTTTATCTGGCCATCTACTTTCTAACTTGTACTTGATCTGTATATCTGTACAGTTAATCCATTTTGCTTGCTGAATCAAAATTAGTTTCGTTTATTATTTAAAGATTTTTTATCATCATTTTGGTTTTGGCGTACGTTCTTATAGGTTCACATATTTATATTCAGTTCAATTCTGTTGACACCGTTTATGCTAATTCTATCTAATATATATTTATTTGTTTTTTGATTTTTCTGTATTTTTTGGCGAGTTGGTTCACTGCACGCGTCAGCACTCGTATTTAGGTATTACGATTACGACAACTTCGCTATATTGACGTCTCAACGCATACCAAAAGACGTACCATTAAATCTCGATCAGCACATGCAACTTTGATAACCCGAAAAACTCGTGCAATGCAAAAATAATTTATCAAAATACTAACGCAACACTGTATTATTTACATTTTAAAAGTGATCTTAAATGTTATAAAACAGGGTCCAGTGAAGTAAAAAAGTAGATGAGAGTGGAGAGGTAGAAGCCGTATTAACTATTAATTAACCTATTCTATTCCTTAATTTAATTAACAACAGGGCCCACACATCTCTATTGTGTTTTCATATTTTGTGTTAGTATTTTTAGTTTAATTATAAAACGTTTAGTTAGTTTTAGTCTGCCCATGGGTAAAAAATGTTCAGTTAGTAAATTAAATGGTAAAGTAAATATTAATAAAATGTATTAGTAAACAAAACAAACCTAATTTAATTTACCTTACCGATATGTATCTGATATATAACCTACACTGTTTATGACTTTATGACTATTTTATGTGTTTATCTTTTAGTTTATTTTTCAGATATATGACAATAATAGTAGTAGTACTTACATAATTTAAGATTTTAAATTACCTACATACCTTTTCTACATTAGTCTTCTAGTCTAGCCTAGCTAGTCTAATTAAAACAAACCTGACACTGACACTTGAAAAATAAATTTAATTAGGGTTTTTCACCATAGAGTATCAGTGTAAAAAAGTAAACTAAGCCTCCTAAATAAAATTTAAAGTTTTGATCCAAATTATTAACTGATTTAGTCATATTAAATTTAAATTAATTATTAAATTAAAGTAAAATGCAGATTTTCAACTTAATAGAAAGCTTCAAATAATCGAATTAATATCTTATCTAAATACATCATAAATACATAAAATAATATTTTTTTGAAGGCTAGTCTATGCATTATATTTCAGTATTTTAGTGAGATTAAAAAAATGAAGGTAAAATGGATTTTTTTATAGTGGAAGATCTGCATTTGATAAAATATAAATAAAAACAATGTGCATTTGATAAATATAATATAAATGAAAAAAAGAATAGCATTTTTCTAACACTTCTTTTCTAACATTTCTTTTCAAACATTAATTCTTTTGATGATCTCATTCAACTTTGCCTTAAGTTTAGCAGTTGGATCACTGCTAATTTTTATAAATTTGTCAAAACAAAGAAAGAAACAAGGAATCAACAATGTAGAGTAGAGGCACAGTATATATATATTTGAGAATCTGGGCCCAAACACAACATATCAATTTGAACACCAATGATGGTATAGAAATACCAAAAAAAGCTTTTCTGTTCTATCATGCATAAAATAAACAAAAATTTTGATTTTGAACTAAAGAAACTTGAAAATGATTTATAATCAACTGTTAGAAAAATTGAAAAGTTAAATTGGAAGTTAACTAACGCTGAACATGTTGTGATTTTCATCAATAATTGTATTTCTGACACAGATTTAAAGTTTTGATGTTAATCATAAGCTGAAAAAATTTTTAATGAGTTAGGTGAAAAAGTTTAAAGTAAGCGAACATTTTTTCCAACTTTTTTAGTATGTAAAAGACACTCATTTATTACAATGTAATTTTCAAGTATTAAAAATCCATATAACTTATTCAATTGAATTTATATGGACAGAATTGTTTAACTATGACAAATTATTGAAATTATAAATTGCATTTTGTTTCACATAAACAGATATTTTTATTGAAAATGCCATTGGCATTAGAATGTTGTTCAATTTTGGACGGGCATCAAAACAAAGTCTGGTGTTTAGCATGGAGTCCCAAGGGAAACATATTAGCTTCGTGTGGAGAAGATAGACAAATCTATTTATGGAGCAACGAAGGTTAACTTAGATATGTAATTTCATGGTTCACCAAAAAATTTTGTCAACATTATCTTTATAATTTCAACACTATATGTGATTTATTTAAGTAAACTAATGTAAAATGCCCTAAACATGATTTAGTTTTCAGTGTGTCATTCAGCCAGTCTGCATGTGCAATGAGCTCTGCTTGTGTCAATTCTAATTTTTTGAAAATTCTGAATACACATTTGGATATGGTTCGAACGTGTTTAGAAAAACCAGGTGTGCACAGGCGAGCCTCAACAAAAACCGGAGTATGTGTAAGGCTCTCAAGCAGCATTAAAGCCTTTTTTCTGTTGCCAAACTTTACAATTATTTAAAACATTTTAACCAATATTTTGACCGACCTCTTCCCAAAACATTGTGTACTTGTTCTTAATGATGTGTATCATTCATTCTTTTAATTTTTGGAATTTACAAAAAAAAAATCTGAATTTTATTTAAAAAATATTATGTAGTAAAAATATAAAAAAAATTTTCAAGTCAATAAAAAATTTTTTACCTAAAACTAAAACAAACATGTTTATGTTAAAAGTTCAATATTTACTATTTTTCTGATGCATATGTATCAACAGCTTCTTAGTTGAGTACTTCCTTGAAAATGTTTTTGTTTTTATAATTATTTAATTATTTAAATTTATCTAAATTTTTTTTCCCCCAGATTTAAAATGGTGTTCTATAAAAATAGCAACTCCTCACACTCGCACCATTCGATGTATTTCATGGTCACCTTGTGGAAATTTTCTGGCAAGTTGCAGTTTTGACGGTACTTCTTGTATTTGGAATTCCTCAAAAAACTTTGAACTTGTTGCCACCCTTGAAGGACACGAAAGTGAGGTGAAGTGCATTGACTGGTCTATAAGTGGCCTATTCCTCAGTACCTGCTCCAGAGACAAATCTGTCTGGATCTGGGAAGGTCTTGTCATTAATTTAATTAAAATCTTTGTTTCTTTGTTATTATTTTGTTATTGATGCATATCTTACATAGATCGATGATATACTATATGATAGACTATATATTGGTAAGGGCCAAACATAGGAAGTATGTGAAGAATGTGAAGATGATACCTGGTATGTTGCAGCATAGTATGGTTGTGATGGATGTGACATCAAAAGAAATGGGGAGGAGGAAGAAGGATAAGTTTGTGGCAAAGAGAAAGACATGGAAGTTGCAGGATGCAGAGGTGAGGAAGGCATTTGAAGTGAAGGTGGCTGAAAATTGGGAGAGTGGTAAGGATGGAGATGTTAGGGAGAGATACAGGGACTGTGTGTTGGCTACGGCAGATAAAGTATGTGGATGGACGAAAGGAAAGTGTAGGCATGGTGAGACGTGGTGGTGGGATGAAGATATAAGAAGGGTTTTGGAAGTCAAGTAGGAGAGGTTTAGGGTATGGAGAAGGGACATGACGGAGGAAGCGGAGTCTGAGTATAGGAAGGCTATACCTGAGGATTGGCGACACAGTGTGTTGGTGCCGTTGTATAAGGGCAAAGGAGATGTGAGAGGTCGTGGGTCATATAGGGGTGTGAAATTACTAGAGCACAGAATGAAGGTAGTGGAGAGGGTGCTTGAGAGGAGGTTGAGAGGTATGGTGACAGTTAATGAAATGCAGTGTGGGTTTATGCCTGGTAGGGGAACGGTGGATGCGTTGTTCATGGTGAGAATGTTGCAGGAGAATTATAGAAAGAAGAAACGAAGATTGTACATGTGTTTTTGTGGATCTAGAAAAGGCTTTTGATCGAGTACCGAGGAAGGTCATTGAATGGGCGTTGAGGAAGAAAGGAGTGAATGAGAGACTTGTTAAAGCTGTGATGCAGCTGTATGAAGGGGCAAAGACAAAGGTGAGGGTTAGAAGGGGGATGTCGGACGCTTTTAGTGTTAAGGTAGGAGTGCATCAAGGATCAGTGTTATCACCGTTTCTGTTTGCAATTGTGATGGATGTTGTGTGTGGAAACATAATGGAGGGGTTGTTATTTGAGATTTTGTATGCAGATGATTTAGTCTTGATGGCTGATAGCATGGAAGAATTGCAGTTAAAATTTGACAGATGGAAAAGTGTTATTGAAAAGAAAGGGTTAAAAGTTAATATTGATAAGACGAAGGTAATGGTGAGTGGGGAAGGTGGGGAGCGAGTGATAAGTAAAATAGACCCCTGTGGGGTATGTGACAGGAAAGTGAAGGCTAACTCGGTATTGTGTATAGGATATCAGAAATGGGTGCATAAGAGATGTAGTGGTGTGAGGGGGGCACTGAAAAAGGTGGAAAGGACGTTCAAATGTAAGAAATGTGTTCATGGTGTGATTAATAGGACGGACGCAAGGACGGGGTTGAGTGGTGGTATTGAAAGAGTGGAAAGCTTTGTTTACTTAGGGAATAAGTTGAATGCGGATGGAGGATGTTTGAGCGCAGTTACGGCTAGAGTTCGTGTGGGATGGATGAAATTTAGGGAACTGGGTGGGGTATTGTGTGGAAAGAAATGGTCAGTGAAGATGAAAGGGAGGGTATATAAGCATGTGTGAGAGCAGCGATGGTATATGGTGGTGAAACTTGGGTGTTGAGGAGAGAGGAGGAAAGTGTACTGCAGAGGGCTGAAAGAGCTATGGTGAGGATGATGTGTGGGGTTAAAGTGAAGGATAGGAGGAGTAGTACAGAGCTATGTCAATGATGGGACTGAATGAGGACATTGTGACATTGATAAGGAGATCGAGATTGCGGTGGTATGGACATGTGTTGAGAAGGGATGAAAGGGTCGGGATTAGGCGAGCGTTGGAGTTCGAGGTTGAAGGAGTGGTAGGAAGGGGTCGTCCGCTATTGGGATGGAGAGAGCAGGTGGAGAAGGACAGGGTGAAAGCGGGTTTGCGTGATACTGAGGCGAGTGACAGATGTGGATGGCGTCGAGGGGTATTTCGGTTTCATCATAGGTAGCCAAACGGCAACCCCCGATCTCGGGGAAAATGCCGTCTAAACGTGTGTTGTTGTATTGATGCATATCTTATCTTGTATTATCTTGCAAATGTTTGTTATTTTTGCTTCATTAATTTTGTTTTTTTATCTTTTATTTAGAAGAATATTGTTTGAAAAGTTTTAAATCAACCTTTAGAACTCTAAAACCGTTTTTGTATGTCGGTTGAATTTTAACTGTTTTCACTTTTCAGACTCATTATTCTGTATAATAATAATAGTTCTGATGATTTAGATTTATTTTTGTGTCTTTGGATTTAAATTACGTTGGCGTCCATAAGCGGCTTACAAGTTGAATAAAATGGCATAAAAGCCAAATATTACATAGCTGACATCACAAAATTATAAACAATCACACCACCACAAACTGTATGTAGAGAATCCAAACTGACCAACACACACTGATGTAACAAAGCACTGCTTTTTTCCAGTGAATGCTGGATGGTTGCTCATGGCTTTATTAACATGGGACAGCACTTCAAATCATCTATGCAGTTGTTTCAACACAGTTCTTATCTTAGCTGTCATGGAAATTTAAAAATAAATTAATTAATTAAAAAATTTGCAACTATTACAAACGAAGAGTGTTTTTAATTTATTACTACCTTGAATATTAACATTCTGTTAAAATGTAAATTTCTCTTTAACCTATTGAAATGAAATGTATTATTTCTCTCTAGGAATCATGATAAAAACTAGATTTTATTTGATATTGCACAAATAAAGTTGAAAGCTGCTTGGGATACGATTTTGTAACATCATTTTCTAGAAAAAAAACCATAATCATTGCTTGTTAATTTTAGTTTGTGGTTTATTATTTGTCGTTAACGTGCTTTGCTATGATTACTTCATGATCAGCTTCTCTAGAAACAAACGAATTTGAATGTGTTGCAGTACTTCACAATCACACACAAGATGTCAAAAAAGTCAAGTGGCATCCTTTAGAAGATGTTAGTGTTCAACAGCTCATATTGTAAATTATATTGGTTTATTTATTTATTTATTAAAATATTTTGATATACTATTCTGCATTTCTTCATCCACTCTGTAATCACCAGTTTTTTTTCTAAATAAACATGTCTCCACACTTATCTATTTTCAGTACTTTTTTATTTTTTTGGTTACTAAATTATTTTTTTAAATCGACTACCTTAACTTTTATATAAATATGCGTTTCTGTTGTCTTTAGTTTTTTTAGGTTCTCTATTTGATGTAGTACGCGGCCTCTTGAGCATGTTGACATGTTTTCTTTTTAAAGTGGGTGAGTAATTTCTGCACCTTTGTACTGAAGCCATTTATTTTGAGTATTGTTCTTTTTGCTTCTTTACTATCGTGCTCAAATTTTATATACTTGCTTTGGTAGTTTTGCATCCCAATCTTGTTTTGCAGTTTTTCTTCATTACATATTATTTCCGAGCAAACTCCTGTTGTGAATTTTTTTCAATTTGTCATGAAAGCCTGTCTGTCGGGTATTGTTAGCATTATGAAATTTTGAAAAAGTACATTTAAAAAAAACCACCAAGTCTCTCGTTATTTTGACCCCTATATGTTTTTTGCTGTAACAGAATTCTTCATTTGTCTTTAAAACCTTAATTAATTATTTATTATTTTGGTGATGGCGTTTTAAAGACAAACTGTCCTCCGTAGCTATGCTGCCTTTCTCATAAGTTTTAAAATATGAAACAATTTTTGAAAATTTCTAATTAGTTGTTGTTAATGTTAATCATTATTTTTTTGAAAATTATTAAATTTAAGGTGTTGTTTTCTATAAGTTATGACAACACTATAAAGATATATGCTTCAGATCTTGACGGAGAGTGGAACTGTATCTTTTTACTTGGTATTTTTTCTAAATCCGATTTTGGCAATTTTTTTATTTATGTAACAAAAATTTGTAATGTGCATCAGTTCAACAAATAATTTTGAATAATTGTTGGTCGGCGAGATGGCTCGGTGGTTCAAACGCCTGCTGAGTCAAACATCTCAGTGGCTATCATATACTCAGCGTATATGATGCGGTGCTTGCGCGTGCACATAAATACATGTGTACGTCGTGTGAAAAGGATAAAAGCTTTTGTGGCGAAGATGGCTGCTTCAAATCAATGGATGAAAATATGAAGAACATAAAAAGATTATAGATAATATATGTGTAACATTATAAGTGGTTCTGTGTATGTCAGAGATGCAATAATGAAGACTAAAAAAAATTTTACCTAATATTAATATCTTTATCGTTTAATAAAATAATTAATAATACTATTTTGTTTCTTTGAATATTTTTTATATTAGATGGCCACTCATCAACTGTTTGGGGAATTTCATTTGATGTGAATGGAGACAAGGTATTGACTTGCAGTGATGACAAGTCCCTTATACTTTGGAAGAAAATTCCTGGTTAAACTTATTTACTATACGACAGTTATTTGTTAAGATGTCTAAAAATTAATTTTTCTACTGGATCAATTACGTTATCTGAAAGTGCATACTAATCGGAAATTGTTCGGAAGTTTGGCTCACGCTGTGCTGTTCATAGGGATTAGGTCGGGTGCTGGTCGAGCGCGTTTTGAAAATGTACTAAGCCACCAAAGAAAGAAAAATTAAAATGGTTTGTGTAAATCGTAGATATATATAACTACTAGTTATGTATATCTATAGTATAAATATGTAATTAAATGTATATAATTATGTTAACACTGATAATAGAGTGTGATCACCGACCGTTAAAATAGCTACGATAAATTTGGTTTAATGTTTTTGAAACCCTATCACCGTCGTTTTTTGGATTAGAATAAGTATTTGCTTAGTTTATGACAAAATGTTAAAAAATTTTCTCAACTATAAAATTATCGATTAAAATGTCGTTACGTGCCTCCGGTCTTTAACTGACTCAATATGTAATACTAAATAGATGTAATGTATTACTATATATTTCTTGTGTACGATTTTTATAAAATTTACTTAGGGTGGCCCAGTGTTGTAGCGACTATATAATTCAACCTGGGCAAATTTCTTATTAGCGCCCCTTGACCAAAAAAATTCAATTTCTAATTTAATCAATCCAAAACAAAACTAATTTTGTTCAATCTTTTACAAATTAACTCTCATGATATAAAAAAAGTAAATTGTCAAAAATTGGTAATAAAATTATGTTTATAAACAATAAAAGAAGCAACTTACACTAATTTTATTATAATTGTGGATGATTGGATTCATATGTATGAATGATATGTATGCATCAACTTCACCGGTGTTTCAGTTGAACCCTTAACGCCTTCAACTCCTTCTCATCTGCTTTTTGGCTTTTGACTTGTATTTATTTTTTTGATAAATTGGTGCACCGTTATTCAGCAACTGACGCTGCCTCCTCTGAAAGAGGTAAAAAAGCACCAAGCTTAAAGGATAATCAACAATAATTGTCATGTTTTAACCTTTTTCTCTACGTTTTTAGTACATAGGCTTCGCTTTTTTCCGGGTTATGTATATTTAAGCGTTTCGTCTCTTGTTTTGAAATGCATACTTTGCTTTCTTTGTATTGTATTTTATTGTAGATTTGTATAGCGCCTTTATTGGGTTATGTTCAGAGGGGGTAATTGTGCTTCAACCGGCTTCCAAACACCTCACGACTGATGTTAGTGTCAACTTTTAGGTCAAGGGGCAATGAGTTCCAAGTCTCGGCTGCTGCAACAGGAAACCTTCTTGCACCAAAATGAGATGTTTTGAACGGAGGGAAAACAAGATCTCCGTGTTTTGCCAATCCCAGTCAATTTCTTTCAGGAACATTCGAAGCTGAATCTAACATATCTTTCAAGTTGTCCGGTGCCTTTCCGGCTAGACAGATTTTTACCATGATGCGGTCAAATTTATCAAAATGATCAACAACTATCACACATTTTTGTAGACCTTGAAAAAGCTTTTGATCGAGTTCCCCGTGAAGCAATCAGATGGAAATGTATACGAATACTAAGACTCTCGTCAGCACAACGGTTGGAAACACAGATGATTTGAAATCGGCGTTGGAGTTCACCAAGGCTCGATTCTCAGTCCACTGTTATTTATAACTGTGATGGAAGAAATCACAAAACCGATACGCACTGGTGACATTTGGAATCTAGTATATGCTGATGATATCGTTTTAACAGCCACGTCTGAGCAGAATGCAGCACAGATGTTTGAAGATTGGAACACCAGACTCGCCGATCATGGATTCAAAGTCAACATCAGCAAAACCAAAGCAATGAACACTGGTGAACCCATCCAATCCACAGCTACTTGACGATGGCCCTGTTCAGTTTTTAAAGCTGGTGTAGGTAACAATTCAATCAAGTGTCAGCAGTGTAACCAGTGTGTCACAAACGTTGTTCAAAAATAATTGGTAGTTTATCTAAGATGTCCAATTTTGTTTGTTCTGCTTGCATCAATCCACAACAACAAATTCGAAATAGCACTGTTTTTGAAGCCATTAAAATAGAGAAAGTCACATCGTTTCAATATCTAGGGGATGTTCTGGATTGTACTGGAACAGCTGAAGCTGCCGTTTGAGCACGCATACCTGCAGCCTGGAATAAATGGCATCTTCTTGCCTCTATATTGATGCGGCGTGACATCCCACTACCACTACGATCAAGACTTTATAAATCTGTGATACGTCCGGTGTTGTTATATGGTGCAGAAACATGGCCAATGACAACCAAACTGGAACAACAACTTCAACGAACCGACATGAAAATGCTCCGATGGATGCAACGAATTAGTCTGAAGGACCACATCAAATCTACCGAAATCTTGCGTCGTGCTGGTTTAGATGATATAAAGGACGAATGTCGGCAACACCGTCTGAGGTGGTTTGGTCATGTCAAACGAAGTGGAAACAGTGCCATAACTTCTCTTGCAGATGTTGAAGTACCTGGCACACGTCCCAAAGGCCGTCCAAAGAAGTCCTGGTCGCAAACAATCGAGCAAGACATGAAAGCTTTAAATTTATATGAAATGGATACAACTGATCGTCTAATTTGGCGCAAAAAATTGATGGCAAAGAAAACAACATCCTACCTCGTAACAACCGGGTCTTTGGACGCTAAACGAAGATTGATTGATTGATGCTGTCAAATTTAGAGACTCGAGAAATTAGTCTATAGGCAGACCTCAGAACCGATTGAATGGATGCCAGTTGACATTTTTCACACTGTACAGAATGGAATTGCAGTAATCAATCTGTGTATAAAAAGGCTGCTCACTTGAGTTCTTGTAGACTTTTCTGAGAGATAACGTCTGATTGCTTTTATTTTATGAAGCTGATGAAAGGATCGTTGACGGAGATCAACAACTTGTCCTTTGAGATCATTTATATTTTGCAATTTGCGCTGACTACCAAGCCACATATATTTAGTTTTATTTTTTTTTACTTGGGATACATGATTTAAGTTACCAATCTGCGATTTGGAAGCATAGCCCTCGCTTTCTTAAGTGTGTTTTTAAGCTTCTTGCTTGCCTGTAGTTATATTTTGAGACGTGATCACTAGTTTTTTTCCAACATGTCTAAAAAGCTTAAGCCGACGCTGCGGCCAAGTATGCCGAAATGATTGAGCTTGACAATATAAGAGATTTGCTCGGATTTCCTCCATGTTGCACGCCAAAATCCATGATGCTAAATACAAAAATTCTAAGTATTATTTTTCTGAATATTTTATCAATTTTTTAAAATATGATAATTTAAAATTTGTAAACTAATAAATATATACTAAAAACACTGATTGGCAGACAAGTACCACAATTACGTGAAGATTAATTCATACCAGCATCAAAATGACTGTCCTATTTATGACGTTTCTTGGTGAGTAATTTAACAACCCATTGTTGCCATATTAGTGTGCTTATTTGTGTTTAAAATTAACTTTCAATTCAATTAGTTTTTTAGTGTATTTTTGTACGTTACATATGATGAATTTTTTTGTTTTCTTTTTAATCTACAAAGAGTTAAAATTAAATTTTACTTATAATAATCTGCCGGATGACAAGTATTTTAAGCTCTAGTTTAAACGTTTCAGCACTTCAAACTATCACCATATATATGTCATTAGCTATAAATATTTGTTTGTAATTGAAATATTAATTTCCTGTCACTATCCTTTCTTTTTAAGGTTGAATCGGTGTTGTTTCTACTTGTTGATACTATTTTTTTTAACTTGGTTTTATTCCAACAAAACAGGTCGAAAAGCAACTTTATTGCAACTGCTGGTGGAGACAATAAGATAAATGTGTACGAGGAATCAAATGATGAGCTAAGTCTTGTTTTGCCCTTATCAGGAGCTCATTCACAAGATGTTAATTCAGTTTCCTGGAACCCGTGCAATAACTTGCAAATGGCATCATGTAGTGACGATGGGCTTGTTAAAATATGGAAATTTATATTATCCTGATATTTTAATATATGTTTTACAATAAATTTCTTATCTGTGTTTGGTTAATTCTAATTTTTTAGTTATAACCTCTTGCATATTTTTATTGTCACTTGATACTAAAGTGAACATGCGTTCAAATATTTTGTTAATCTGAAATTTGTGCATAGTTTATAGAACTTTATCTAATCCATGATTGACGAACTGGATGCAATTATAATTATCATCAGAATGGACTTTTGCACAATAAATGCACGCCTTATACTTTTTTCCGCTGAAGCTTATTATGATGTATATCTGATAAAACCAGAGCTTCTAATTTTTCCATCCATTTTTTCTAAGCTCAACACTGAATTTTTAACAAATTTTAAAATAACTATATCTTCTATACATGCTCCCGACGTAACTTTCCATCAGAATTTGCTATCTTCTAATCTTTTCTCCCCGTCATTTTTGATCTAAACTTTTTTTGTCTCCAAATTTCTTACTAATAAAACCAATAATAATCCCATTTATCAAAAGTCTCTATTTAGATACTTTTTACTTTCATAGACCTGTTTATCATCTTCCTTAGAAAAAGTTTGATATCAACAAGTCTCTTTATTTCTACTAATTCTTTTCTCCCGATAATCTAGTTTGTGGCACATATAGCACTGAAATATGTCCACTCAAAATATACAATAATGCTTTTATTGTTTATGAAATTAACGGTTTAACTCTTAATAATACGACGATATAAAGCTCCAGTTACACGATTGCTTCATAGGCGCCAGGAGCCTTCATCCGCGAATAAATGTATTTTCATCATTTTCTTAAATCTTTTCTTCAGTGATGTGCAATTTGTAAGCTCCGCCGGCAGACCGTTCCGGAAGCCACAATCCGCGAAATGTGATTTGGCTACTTGAATTTTGAAAAAGTTGGAAGATGAAGGACGTAAGCTTTTTTCATGTTTACATGGCATGATGTTAGATTGATAAGTTAAGTTGAGGACTGGGATCTTGGGACCTTGAACGTAGTGATAGCGATTTTGATAGAGAGGAGCTAAATACAGAATTTTTATTACTTAATTTTTTATTTTACCTTTTTTTTTCTTTAGAACTTTTTTCTTAACTTTTCTGGAATCTTTCTCTAGTTTAAATGTCATTTAAAAATTGTGTTTTTTTGTTGCTCTAGAAAATTCTGTATTATAGTCTTCCTATTCCAATTTGTCTTTTTTGATACCTTATGCAGCTTTCAATGCATCTGGTCTCGTCGCATGTATCCCTCTTGTTACATTTCTCTTTAAAATTGGTTGTTTCTTTATATGATTATGTCAAAAATATGCAATTTTATGTATAAGTTATATTATGACTACCATCCAAAATAATTAATAGACAACATTGAAGACGAAAGATGCGGGATATTATATAATTCTAACCGCAGTTCTATTAAACTATTAGCATTTGTCAGTGATGCACGGTCCCTACTACTTTATTACCTCAGTTGAACAATTTTTGCTAAATTTCAATCTGCTTTCAATCATTATCTTTGGAATTCTTTATCGATTTTTTTACCCTATCTCAATTCCCTTGAAATTTTAGAACAGGTCTCAAGACGCACTTTTTTATTAGGATTTGTTAAGGAGCAGTGTTGAACTCTACCTAAATGTCCCAATAGACAACCTGATTTTTTGATTTTGATGTGCCTAAAATAAATTCAAAGTAAAATTTATTTAAATAGTTTTTTAGAACAAAGTCAAAATCTGTACTCAAAATTTAATCTACTATCTGAACTATGCTCCGTTGAAATTTAAAGAGTGACATGAAGCTTCATCTCACTTATTTTTAAGTCTGGTATGGTGATCTTTTCCCAATTCATTATTAATTTATACTGTAATAATTTGTATTATCTAATTTCTCTACTGTTGTAGTTTTCTGTTAAGCAAATTTAACTTTGTTTAATGGTTTCAAACCGACCATAATCCTTGCGGAACGTATGCGGTCGGGTAAAGGTGTACCCATTACTATAGCCTACGAGTATGAGCGTCGTCACGTGCCACAAACAAACATCCTTTATTGAATAAAAATTTGAGCACCTTTCACAATGATCAGGCAGAATTTTAAGATTCTAGAAAATTTTGATTCAGAGCATTTTTGAATACCCAATTAAAGAATTAAAACAATTTAAACTAATATTTTACCATCCGATAAATTATTCATACATATCTAACGTTTACCAACGTGGTTCTTTATGAGATTTGATATTGTGATAAAATTGTTTATATTGCTGGTTTTTTATTCAGTAAAGTCTCCAAAATTTTAAATGCTGGGGTTCAAATTAATGGTTTTTGATAAGTTAAGATCTTAAAGTATGTCCAATACATTCTGGTTAAAACGTTGAAAACTTGGCGCAATTTCTTATTGCAATAAGCTTCATTGGGACCAAAAAAGTTTATAAAAACTACTTGTCTTCAGAAAGAGTAATTTGAGAAACTTTATTGAACAAAAAATTTTGTCATATTTTACACTGTATCACCCTATCATATTCCTTTCGGATTTTTGAGAATCTCTTAGCTAATAATAAAATTTCAACAGATTAATAATGAAATATTTAACAAAAGGCATGTATATATGACGTAATTTTGCAAAAAGGTCATCCAAACTAACAATTTTTTTATAATAAAGCCGTTGAATACGAGTTCCATAAAATCCTTAAAAATTGTAAAAATTTGGATTACAAATCCAGATTAATAAAACTTGAATTGCCATCTCTTTGGTTTCGTAGGACTAGAGAGACTTGGTTCAAGTTTATCGGATAGTTCTCAACCTGGTTGACCCAACGATTTGCCCAAGTTTTGACCGTTCGATTAGATATCAATACCGGACTCTATCATTTTGGTCTACGCATCACCTTCACCAAGAATGATTGTCGAAAGTTTTTCTTTTTTTGAATCATGTTGTCCAGGCCAAGAAAGCTTTGCCAGACGATGCAACAATCCTAGGGACCTTTAAAATTAAATTAAACACTTTTTTGCTGATAAAAAATGTAATACACTTTGATATCTTGTATTTTATTTGTCTTTCTTAGTTAATGAACTTGATATTACTTGATGTTAAACTGAACTTCATTTGATTTTTCTATTTATGATATTTGTTTTATTTTTCACGTTCTAAATGTTTATTGTTGTTTTATTCTAATTTGGACAACAAGCTATTCGCCTGAGCTATTTTAATAAATAATAATAATAATGCGCAAATTTTTGAAAATATTTGTCGGGTTTTAGTGACTACTACATCACAATTCTACATTGACAATTTTTTTTATTATTTCTTGCATAACATAGAAATGTAGTTTTTTGTATAATGGTTGTGTAACGTTGTGTAATGTGTAATGTCACCCCCATGACAACTGATCTTCTGCGTGTGATTAGTGTGATTGGTGTGTACGTGCGAGCATGTGTATGTGTGTGTGTGTGTGTGTGTATGTGTGTGTGTGAATAGAGAGAAGAGAGAATAAAATAAAAAAATTAAATTTATCACATGACAAAGAATCGAATAAATATTGGAAAATCACTGAACGAAGTGCAATGAAAGTTTATCATAGGACGTGTGCGTAGACAAAACCATTGTCAACGTCACATAACTGTTGGTTAGAATTTCTAACTTAGAAAAGCTGCTCATTGAGAAAGCAATGCAGCTCCCATTTATTTTACTATCCGATCTCTTTCATTAATTTTAAATATTTAAAAAAATGTTGAATGTCTATTAGACTCTTCGAATTTCATAAGAATCAACAACACTCAAATGGTAAGCCTATGCTGTGTCTGAATACATGCCAAACGGCGCATCACACACAATGCCTGTGGCTGGCGGGGCTCCATATTCTTATTCGGTCACTGCGTAAGAGGACAAGGCGACTTTAACCACTACGTCTTGTGGAGTTTTAACGTTCGATGTTATACTCAAGTTGATAAAGTGCCACAAGCCGTCTTTTTTGCGAAAGCAATCAGAAAATTTAAAAATTTGTTCAATCAATCAATCAATTAGCTTATAAAGCACTATATCCGCTATGTTCAACAGTGCTCCTCAACGAATTTTGCAAACAGATGGGTCTTGAGATCCGCTCAGAACTTCGTAATTGATGGAGAAGTAGTCTGAGAAGTAGGTAGAGAGTTCCAGAAAAAAAGGGCCTAAAAAAGCAAAAGCAGATTTTGCAAAAGAGTGTTTAACACGATTTAAGAAGAAGTGAGAACAAGAAGACGATCGTAAACCGGGGCCTTTAGGTTCAATTAATATATCTATACTGCGAACTGAATCGGCTTAATTGAAAGCTTTACTTTTATTGTCAAGTTCAAAATGTTGTTCGACGGACTAATGTTTGTAAGGTTATTGAGATTTTTGATTTTTTTTTGCAGATATTTCAGCTGCGGCACCAATATTTTTAATATATTTGAAAATCCAATCTTTTGAATAAATTTTAAAAAGCATTCAATATTTTTAAAAGGTTAAAATAGCATGTATATAAATATTTGTATAATGTATGTAGATGAATAAACTCTTAGATGTTGTAAAAAAACCAACAATCTCCGTTGAGCGCTTTTTAAATTCTGCAGCAAGTCCGCTCGAGCAACATAAGGTTTTCGATTTAATATCAGAATATAAATATATTGTATCGAGAAATATATACTGCGTGTAAGCAGTGTATGCTTGTATGCATGCTTCTATATACGCATTGTATGTGTATAAACATGCATCTATATTATATATATATAATATATGTATATGTATATTTGTATTGTATGTTAATGTATAAATGTGCGTATTTGTTTGCAGACGAGCATTAAGTGAATTATTTCCTGTCATTGTATGTCTGAATGAAGATGGTTTGTAAAATAATTTTATAAACTAAATTCAGCTTATTAAAGCAAAACTATGGAAAATGTTACGAATAAGTATTTCAACGGAAACAGTTCAAAAGGGAATCATCATTCAACATCTGCAAGAAATACAAATCCTGAAATTTCACTGGATGACCCTAAAGATTTATTGATTTCCAATACTCACGATCCTGCATCAAATTCGGAAACGGAAATTAGTTCTATTATGGCGGTCCTTAGTCAATTAGCAATAACACAAAAAAACTCTCAACTTTGTGATCCAAGCACAAGTTTTGCTCAAAATGATGGATTTTTGAACATAGGACTGAACTCTTCTATATACCCAGATTTGTTGACAGTGAACATGTCGATAAAAAATTACGCTCAATGCCCGAATAATTTTATTAAAAAGGATTTTTTGCAATTTAATAACGTACCCCATTACCTAAACGCAACTCCAGATTTAAATTATGCAATAAATAATTTGGAATCAATGAAATATCCAATTTCTAATAGTTGGAACGTTAAAAAGCTGGACAATAGTATCAACGCGGCTATCCAAACACGTTCAAGGTTTCTTTCATATTTTTTAGCTCAAAGTTTCAAAGTTGTAATTCATATATAATAATTTTGTTTATATTTCAGTTTTATCAACCCTATGGATTTGAACGAAACAGCAAATTTTGTGAGTTATCCGCTACATTTAATTATTTAAACAAAATAAATTATTCATATATAAATATATACGAATGACCTGAAATGCCAATTTTTATATTTTCTTTCAGAATTCACTGAAAAATCCATCATGCATTCTAAACTCTCAGAATCCATTTTTATTTGATATTTTGAAAAACGTTTCTGGGCCATACAATGATTCTAATGGTATTTCAAAGTTAAACATGATTTTGCATACTTACCTTATTAATTTCTAGACAATTTTTATAATCAAAAGAGCTGTAAATAAAAAATGAATAAAATTTAATGTTTAGTTAAATTATGTATAACGTGAACGTGCATTTCACGGCTTTTATTTTTTTATTATTTTTATTTACAGTTGAAAATGTTCAAACTACATCCAAGCTGCCCGATTTGAGGTACATGTTAATGAAAGATCGCTCATTTCCTTATATCGATCCAAGTTATTCTGCTTTGAGCCTGGTTAAACCAGCCAACCAATTTTCATTTTTGGATTCAGGAGAAGTATATTCTAAAAAAGTATTTGTTGGAGGATTGCCTCCAGATATTGATGAAGGTAAAATTACATATTAATTTTTGATGTCTAGTGTCTAATGAATTCTTTGGTTGATATAACAACATTTTTAGAAGAAATACTGGCATCGTTTCATAAATTTGGATCTGTACTGGTTGATTGGCCTCATAAAGCTGAAAGTAAATCATACTTTCCACCCAAAGGTTTATCAAATTAATCAAAGTCCATTTCATTAACTCTCAATTTGTAACTTTTGTTTTTTTCTACCGGGTGTTAATTTTAAAAACGTTAAATAGATTTTCAATGAAAAATTGATTTGAATTTTCTCGTCAGGTTATTGCTTTCTTTTATTTGAAGATGAAAAATCAGTTCAAGCTCTGGTTCAAGTTTGTGCTGTGGAAGGCTCAAAGATATATTGGCATGTCTCCAGCCCGACCATGAAGGATAAAGCAGTTTGTATTGGTTTTATTTCATATTTTTAGTTTGTTTCTTTTATTTTCACTGATGATTTTTCATGATTACTTTTATTTAACGATAAAATTTTTATGCAACTAAGGTTCAGATACGTCCTTGGAAACTATCTGATTGTGATTTTGTGGTTGATGGCGCTCAGCCATTGGATCCCCGAAAGACTGTTTTTGTTGGTGGCGTTCCAAGGCCAATGAGAGCAGGTACATTTTTATTGTTTAAAATTCGTTAATTATTTACTATCGAAAGAGATTTTATTTAATAATTCATGTCATGCAAATATCATTAAATTTTATTATTATTACCTTCATATTTTTCAATTGAAAACGAACTTTTTCAGGTTTACAATAACATAACACTTCTGAAATATTGAATCACTATAATTTCTTTGTTCTTAATAGCTGTTTAATTGATTTTTCGATATTTTCTCTGCTGGAAAAATAGGTTCAAACTGTTTTATGAAATTTTCATTGATTAAATTAAGCTTTGCTGCCATCCCCGCCACTAAATAAACTTTTTTGAAAAAAAAAATTGTAAAGAAAAATAGCACGTTATTCGTTATTCAAGATATTTGAAATATTTTTAAAAAATTTATGTAACTTGAATCAGAAATTTAACTATGTTTCACCTTGAAACGTTTGTCGGTGTTAAAACATCGAATCGAGCAATAATTTATATTTATCTACTCATCCATGATTAGAATAAAAGTTTAGGAGGTCCGATAAAAACTTGAATGATATTATTGATAAAAATAATTCTTCCTTAGTTAATTTTCTGAGATATTAACAACAAACACACACCGTGAAACTACGCGTAACACACGTTGGATGTGATAGGACTTTGCATTTGAATTTCGAACTCAGTTGCTGCCCAATTCATTCCATGCTTAGAGGAAATATGTGGGGATGCTTTTATGATTTAAACTGCGCAAAATATTTTAACATGCACTTGTTTGACGTTTTGTGTGCAGCTTATATTGCTGACTTTTTTATATATAAGTTATAATATAATACTAGTTTGAAAGAATTTGCAGATTTATTTTTCTGACAACTGATACTTAAGTAATTGTCATTCACTTCAGCAGCGTTCAGCAGCGATTTTCAAAATTTGAATGACACGCTGCTAATTTGCTAATGTATCAGATTGAAAATAACTTAGTAAGTTAAAACTATTTTGTGCATACAATCGATAACTATAACTTAATGATCGATAGTCAGATTCTCCATGCGTTCGGAACAAGTTGTCCTTTCTTCAATCAAGGCTCAATAGTAAGTCTCTAGAATAAGGCATAATAATCTTTACAAGATATAGAAAAAGATAATTATAGTAAAAAAGAAGAGAAGCATAAACAAGAAACAACCGAGAAAATGTGCCGCCATCACGCTAAACGTCATAACGCGTGGCACAACATTTCTTCAATCCAAGCAACTTTTAAAATTTTTGCGTTGACTTCTATGAAAACGAAAATGCCATCCGGATATTATTTTTATTCAAATTTCTTGCGAAATATTCTGACTTTTAAAAATTACTGCAACTTTAAAAATAAATTTTTTCAATTAGTTTTATTAACTCAGATAAATTACTAACGGGCGAAGTTGTCTCAAATTAAAATATCTCGATTTAAAATCGATTTAGAAACTTAAAATTTTGAAGGCATTTAAACCGTAAAAAGGCTGCGTTTAAAATGCAAAGTTGAATGTATGAAAAATTTAATTCCGTTGATGGAGGCTGAACTATTTAAAGTAGTTAAGCGATCGATCATCGTTCACCGTCTTTCTGGTGATCCGCTCGATACATCGCAAGTTATTTTGTAGCGACGGAAGAGTAGCCTACTGAGAAGAAAGATTCATTTATATGAAAAAGAAAACATTAAACGCCAGCTACTCAAAAAATCTCCCATTTAGTTGAATATAATTGTTAACGCTGTCGTTGATACTGCTGTCTTCGTAGGTAGAGGTACTTAGGTTTGAATGTCGCGAAAGATAAAAAAATTTTCAAACTGGGCATTCATATTTTCATGTCTTACTTTTTTGTAGCTCAACAATTTTTTAAATTATATTGGGTGCTTGTTAACATTAGACTTAACATATTAAGCATTATAATTCAAATGTACGATTAAATTAACGTACTTTTAATAATAATACCACGCAAAAAACAAATAAAAATGAGGTTATTTTTCCATTGAAAACAATTTTTCAGTTGAATTGGCGATGGTGATGTCCCGGATGTATGGACCGGTGTGCTACGCTGGTATTGACACCGACCCGGATCTCAAATATCCGAAAGGAGCTGGCAGAGTTACTTTTTCCAACCAGCAGAGTTTTCTATCAGCAATCAATTCTCGGTTCGTACAGTTACAGCACGGAGATATCGATAAAAGGGTAAATAAATGAAATCAACTTAAGACATTTAACGTGTTTATGTTACGAAGAGCTAATATATATATATATATATATATATATATATATATATATATATATATATATATATATATATATAGCAATTTTAATATTTATGTTTAATGAACACAGGTTGAAGTGAAACCATATGTTTTGGAGGATCAGATTTGCGATGAATGTCAGGGGATTCGCAGTGGAGGGAAACACGCTCCATATTTTTGCGCTAACGTTGTTTGCTTGCAATATTATTGTGATCAGTGCTGGGCCATTGTTCACTCAACACCTGGCCGCGAGTTCCACAAGCCACTTGTAAAGGATGGAGCCGATAGACCAAGAACAATGCCCTTTCGTATGTGCTAAAATGTCAAAATAACCTAGGAACGTTTCATTAAATCAGCAGTTTGTTTCATTCGTAACAATTTTTTCTTCATATAACTGCCACTGAGAAGGAAACTAAGCGAGTTGATTTAATTTACAAATTAGATTTAAATTTAATTCAGTCACAAAGTTATTTTCATCTCTTTTTTCTAATGCATAGTTTTCTGTTTTCTACGGAAGTATCTGACACCCGAATTTACGCATTTTTGTATTTTACTTTTAAATCTTTTACCGATTTATTTTTTCAATTTTATATGTTTATTAAAATGTTAACATTTTGAATTTCATATCCCCGAGGAAGTTTTGTAGACATTTTATATTTTCTTATTAATTTAGATAATTGTACTGCAATTATTTTTGGTACTTTTGACTATGTTGGCTATGTCTATTAATTTGATATAACAACATTTTTTAATAAAATTGAATTGTTGTAAAAAATATTTTTATAGCAAGTTAATACCTCATGTAATGGTTTACCTTTTTTCTTTTTTCTCTAGGATTTATAAAATATTTTAACTTCATTTTATCGCTGTCGTTTCGTTTTTGCTTCACTTAGAATAGCAATAACTTTACCATTTATTTTTTCATACTTTCAAAATTTTTAGGTTTTAATTTTGAAATTGTAAGAAGTTGATGCTCAAAACAAATTTTTATTTGAGATGGTCTTTTTTGTTTTGTTTTCAAGGCATGAAATTCAAACATTTCTTTTATCTTATGAGCACATTCTTCTCAATGAGTCGCGCAGTTTCATATGAAGTATTTATTTATTTATTACGTTTCAATGTTCCTCTTAACATAGACTCTGTGATTATAGTAGTTAGAATTTTTTACATATTTTCGAGAGTTTGATATTTGTCGTTTTTTAACCATAGTTATTTTCAATTTGGTGAATTTTTTAATCATTATTTGAATCTATTTTTGAAAACTTTTTAAATAGTTTAAATTGCGCGATTAGTCTTTTAGTTATTTTTAAATATGTTTTCAAGATTTTTGGTGCATAATTATTTGTGAATTGTTATTCAATCAACTATTTTCTTCATGCTTTATATTTGAAATAAAATTAATGACCGAAAAATTTTTGTGTTTCACTATAGAAACTTTCGCGAATTAGGAAAATGATGTAAGCGGTAGGAAAAAAGACCAATGATCATGCGACACAATAACAGAGAAATAATGCTTTATAGTTTTTTCAAATTTCGATTGTTTAGGATTTTTTAATACAATTGATTCTCTAGCTAAATTATTGTGTCATTCTACACATACCAACAAACAAACAAAATTTTTAAACCATCTTAAAAATGTAAGAAAGGAATGATGACCTATATGTATATGCATCTTATTTTACATATCTACCTCGCCCAATATTCATTCATTTTTGTTGCTTTTCGTTGTACTTTCTCAAGAATGTCTATTTTTTGCAAATCTGGACTCTATACTTGAATACATTAGGCTATTCCAGAATGGAACAATTTAAAGTTTATACAAATTTATAATTGTCGATTTCTCTCTGCTGACCACTGTTCTAATAAATCCAAGTATTTAGTTTGCTTTGCTCGCTGCGATTGCACATTTTCTTCATCTTGTTTTTGTGCTTCTGCAAAAGATGACTCCAAGGTCCTTTCTTATTCGGTCGATCGTAGCTCCTGATTGCTCAACTGAAATTGCGAAAGCCCGTGTTCTTTCTTTCCATGGGCATAACTTACATTTATCGAAATTAAAACAAACATTTGTTAATCTTCAGACCACTTGTACAATTTTGCCAAATTCTGTCTTAACACTTCCATATCTGCCTCATTGTTGAACTTTGCACACAGTTTCGTGTCATCGACAAACTTTGATATTTTTGAAATTTGCTTAAGTCCATGTCGTTGATATAAATAACGAATAGTAGAAGTCCCAAAACAGTACCCTGAGAAACTGCACCTGTAACGTTAATCCAAGAGGTATTCCTGCCTTTGATCCGCACTTGTTGTCCTCTCTTCTTAAGTCGGTTGGGGATCCATTGAAGCAGATTACCAGATATTCCACAGGCTCGTAACTTCTTATCTTCGGTATTGAAAACATTGCTTTTATGCTTTTGCTGAAAAGTTTGTTGTAAATGTATTGCTATATAATGATAACTGGACATTTGAAACGTATACATATAATATGTACATTATATGTACAATAATTATATGATATAAATTTTTTAAAACTTTCACTTTAGCTTTCCATAATTCGTTAGTCTATTTTTAATCTCTTTCTTAATCGATTAAAAAAAACATTTGTTTGTTTAATTAATTTATTTTTATGAATAACAGAATTTTAATACGAGCACACTCTACCTGACGGTTGACTACATCCTAATTATTAAAGACAGTGAGCTCACATGGTCTGGTGGGTCATAAAATTTTTTTAGCGGTATTTTCAATTTTACCTTACATGCCAACCACTGCTACACTTTGATTTGATTTTAAAATGTTATAATGCATTCTCTATATTTAATTATATATATATATATATTATATATATATATTTAATTATATATATATTATATATTTAATTATATATATATTATATATATATATATATTTAATATTTTAATTATAATTATATAGTTGTATAATATATATTTCATCTGGTCAGTACTGTGTGGTTTGGCTGCAGCTAAATAAATTTTCTGTAATATTTCTCAACATTTTTACATGACACAATTAAAAAATAATAGGTTACCCTTGACTTGAGATTTCCACTTCATGAACTAATTGAAGTGTCTATTAAAACAGTTTTTTTAATTTTTGAATCGAACTTCACGGCTTATTTTATTTTGAAAATTGTTTTGAACAAGTGTAAAGGCTTCAAATGTTGGAATAGTTAGAGTTAATATAGGGTTAGACTAGTTAGAGGGTTAGACTAATTAGAGTTAGAAGAGACATAAACTTAAAATACCTACGTTATGTCTATTTATATATTGTATGGTTTATATATATACTTACCCTCAAACGCACTGTGCAAATTTTGACTTTGCTAGAGTCTGGTGTCATTTCCTATAGTAATATAGTTTCCATATATTTTTATTGAATACTAATATTGTCATTTACTCTTTAAAGATATTATTTATTTTGATTATATTTTAAATGTTTTAGTATTTTTATATGGAGTCATAATAATGATCAAAGACCATTCACATTAGCAGGCCTCCCCTGGTTAGAGTTTATCAAATTAAGATTAACATTAAGGTATTAAATTTCTGTTTAACTTTGACAGCTATAAAGTTTAAAAGTAAAACGAAAAAAATTTTTAAGCTGAAAAAGCGGAGTGTTGGAATATTTTAATAAAACAAGTTGTGTTTTTTTGCCACTTAGTTCATTGTTTCTTTCAGACTCTATAGTGTCTGAGTTTTATTTTTGTTACGTTTTGGTTCTGATGATAAGTTTTGATTTGTAGAACTGGCATGAAATTTTTGTTTATAATGTAATATGCTAATCAAACTAGCCAGAGTGAAACTTCTGTTATGTTGGTTGATCAACAATGTTCAACCTCAAAATTAGACAATGCCAACATACATACATACATACATACATACATACATACATACATACATACATACATACATACATACATACATACATACATACATACATACATACATACATACATACATACAAACAAACATACATACATACATACATACATACATACATACATACATACATACATACACACACACACACACACACACACACACACACACACAAACTTAATTTTCATTGATAACAAAAGTTATTTTTTTAACACCGATCACTAAATGTTGTATTTTTTGTTTGTTAATCTTTAACTTTTTTTTTTATTTTGCTTTAAAATTTTAATAATATATTAAAATTTAGATGAGAGAATGGGGTTTGTTAATTTTAATACAAATCAGTTTTTTAATGTTTGTTCAAATGCATCTTGAGAATATTCATGAACTTGCATTAATTGATTTTGCAATTCATTTTTAGAGAATTATTCCTTGTCTAATTACTGCTTTATTTATTTTAAAATGATTTCTATTTCTAATTTTAAATTTTCAGAACTGATGGATTCTGTACAAAAAAAAAAGTTTGAATTTAAGAAGTCAACATGTCTCAAAAGAGTTACTAATGAAAATTTAACTTTTTTAAATGGTTTAATCTCCAATACATCAAAAAATAGTGAAGTCACCAATCAAAGTGATGAAACTAACATTTGTGAAAATGTTGCTGAAAGTTCCAACAGTAAATTTAGTATTAGTGATAAATTAGAATCAAATGCTCAAAGCCCATCATTTAATGATGATAAACAATTGAAAAAAGTTGTTGATTCTTTCATAAATGTCAAAAACAATAGCTTTTTAAGAAATATTCAAAACACACCTCAACCACAATCCGGCAAAATGATTGCCTATGTACCACCTTTGACATCTGACGACAGCACATCATCATTTTTTAATTCATGTCTCAAAGATCAGAAAACCATCCAGAAACAACCAGGTACTGTAAATAAATGTCACGAGAATTCCTATTTGGATGACACTTTTGACGTCATTAATGCTATGAATTTTGATGATATCTCATCAGACTTTAATTTAAATTCATCAACATTTGCAACATCCTTGAATAATAAAAAAAGAAAACTGTCAATAAATGATGACAATCAACCAAACAAATCAAGAATAAAATTTGATTTGAATTTCAATACATCAGAATTAGCAGAATCCGCGGAGCCTGATCTGAATAAGCTTGAAAAAAGTGACAATTTTGAAGAGTTGTTATTTGTTTCAGAAGAAATATGTAAAATCATCAGTGAAATAAGTATGGGTGAGTTGTTATCTCTCAAAAGTGTTGATAGTCAGAAGCTTCAAGAACTGCTTTGCAAGCGGCATACTCTCAAAAGCTCTAGTGAGGCTAATGATTTGCTGACAGATTTTAAACAAATTAGGAGTAATTTAATCATGAATAATAAAAAATTTGACAGAAAAAATGTTTCACCTAACCAGTTAAAAATTAGCAAATTGGAAAATCGAGTGTTGAGCAAAATCAATACCAGCACTCCAAATATGAAAACTCTCCTTGGCACACCTGCAGTAAAGCACACAATTGAATCTCCTAATAACGAATCAACATTTAGTAAGTTTAATCAATCCACTTTATTAAATTCAAGTGGAATGGCTGCTTATCAGGATGTTTCAAACAAATGTGTTTCAAACGGTGATCGAATATGTCAAAGTGAAGTAAGCTCAACCTTCAAAAATTTTGATTCAACCTCGATTCAAAGTCAATCATCTGCAAATTTTCCAAAATTTAGAGACAAAAAAATGGATGATGGCTTGTGTCCAGTTTTTAACAGCACTTATCATTCTCATTATCCTAAATTAATGTCAGTTTTCCAACAAGTTTTTGGTTTAAAGACTTTTAGAACAAATCAGTTGCAAGCTATAAATGCTGCTATTTTAGGGAATGATTGTTTTGTTTTGATGCCAACTGGTGGTGGAAAATCGCTCTGTTATCAACTTCCTGCCTTAGTAAATGATGGAGTCACGATCGTCATATCTCCCTTGAAGTCTCTTATACAGGATCAAGTCCAAAAACTCCAATCATTAGATGTGTCTGCCAGTCATCTCTCTGGAGAAATTAGTTCAACTGCGGCAGATAAAATTTATGCCAAACTGTTTTATAAAGATCTAGATTTAAAATTGTTATATGTGACTCCTGAAAAAATATGTGCTAGCAATAAATTAATTTCGGCTTTTGATAATCTTTATCGGAGAAAATTGTTGTCAAGATTTGTTATTGATGAAGCGCATTGCGTTAGCCAGTGGGGGCACGACTTCAGACCAGATTACAAAAAACTTTATATATTGAAAGAAAAATTTCCAGAGGTTCCAATGATGGCGCTAACAGCAACGGCAACACCTAGGGTTAGGCAGGATATTTTGCATCAACTTAGAATGAAAACTCCAAAATGGTTCATGCAAAGTTTTAACAGACCAAACTTAAAATATGACTTAAGACCCAAAAAACCCAAAAACCTTACCAATGAAATAATTGATTTGATCAAACAAAAATTTTCTGGCCAGTCTGGAATAGTTTATTGTTTATCCAGAAGAGAATGTGATTCAGTGGCTCAGGATCTAAGGAAAGCAAACATTCCTGCTGAATCGTATCATGCAGGACTCACAGACAGTGAAAGAAATGATGTTCAACGAAGATGGATCAGCGAAATCAATTGTAAAGTAGTGTGTGCCACCATTGCATTTGGTATGGGTATAGACAAGCCTGATGTTAGATTTGTTATGCATTATTCGCTGCCAAAATCAATTGAAGGATATTACCAAGAATCAGGAAGAGCCGGGAGGGATGGGTTGATAGCTGTTTGTACTCTATTTTACTCATATCAAGATGTTTCACGGTTAAGGAGGATGATAGAAACAGATGAGGCAGGTAATTTTGAAGGTAAGAAAGTGCATCTAGATAATTTATATCGTATGGTTCAGTATTGTGAAAATAAAACAGATTGTCGTCGGTCTCAACAAATGTTTTACTTTGGAGAAACATTTGACAAAAGTAAATGTGGAGTGTTTAAAGGTGCGCTATGTGATAATTGTTCTTCAAAAGAAAAATTCCAAATATGGGATGCATCTGAAGCAGCTATTGAGATAGTTAAAGGTTTTAAAGAGATGAAAATGAAAAGCTATGATAAATATACCATGATACATCTCATTGAAGTGTTTAAGGGCTCTAAAAACAGCAAAGTGATTGAGTCTGGCCATAATTCATCTAGATTTTATGATAAGAGCACCAAATATGGCTTGGATAGAAATGACTCAGAAAGATTGTTTAGACAGATGGTGATAGAAGGTGTTTTAGATGAAGAATTGCACATAACTAATCACGATCATACGGTTTGTTACATTAAGCTTGGTCTTAAGGCTGAAGAGCTGCTCAAAGGTCAACACAAAATTATGTTTCAAAAAAGAGGAGGATCTAAAAGTGTTGTTGAAGAGCAACAACAGGAAAAATATGACCCCAAATCAAATATTTTGGAATCATGTTATAAAGATTTACTTATTTTTGCTAAAGAAACTGCCATTGCTGAAAACAAAATTAATTACACTCATATTTTCAATAGTGAAACACTACGAAGAATTGCTAATCAGTTGCCTATTACGATAGAAGAACTTTCTGGGATAGAAGGAGTAACATTAAATAAGGCAGAAAAATATGGAACAAAGATGTTAGAGATCACTATGGATTATACACATCAGCTAACTGCTCTAGACGCCGATTTCAAAGATTTTATCAATGATGATTTTGATGAAGAGTTGTCAAATACTAATGAAGCTTCATCTTTTGACTCGCCATATTTCGCACATGAACCAAGCTCTTCAATTAATAAAAAGAAACCGTCACAGTTTAAAAAAAAGTGGAAGAAAAAGTATTCTAAAAAAGTAAAAGGAAAAACTGAGAGCAATGTTAATAAGTCCAGCAAAACTGTAAGTAAAAATGTCCGACAATTCTCTTTTCAAAATAAAAAACGTACGACCAAAGATAACGTCCAAACTAGACAACCAGGATTTTTAGGAATATCCCAAACCTCTAGGCCATTTTTAGGAAGCAGCGCTCAGTATATGGGTTGATTTCACTGAAATATTGTATAAAGGTTTTTGAGAGTTGATTTACATTTTGTCTCGTTTAAAATTTTATCTTGAAATCGCTGATGTGACCCACTTTAAACTTTTTGTATTTTCGATTTTGTTTCAATACAAATTCAACAAATTGTCTTTGTAACATTGTCTTAATATTAGCATTGTCAAATTGTCTTAATAGCAGTTTATGCCAATGGAAGGCTGTTTAAAAATGTTACAGACTTAAAAAATGAATATTTAAACCGATGGAAATTGGAACAAAATTGACTTTCAAAACTTATTTTATTTTCGTTTCATGTTCATATTAAAATTATGAATTTTTTTTTGTCTTCGTTCATATCATTTTGCATATAATTATAATACCTATGCTGGCCCTTGAACGCACTCTTGCACATTTTCAGTTGGCTTTCATTCATTAATTTCTATAAACAATCGTTCATCAAATTTTACAATTTTATAGTTGGTTAATAAATACTTATTTATTCTTTAAAGATGTATTTCATACATTTGCATAACATTTATGCGTATTTAGTATATATTTCCGATGTGTATAGCCGAACGGATTTGAGATCGTCGTGCTTGGCAGGTACCCCCGTCACCTTTACCCATCATTAAAATTATTTTTTAGTAATCTGAGATGTCTTAAGTTTAGAAGAAAAACTTAACACTATAATTGTTTAAATGTTAATAGAAAAAAGCCGAGAAAATAGTTTTTAAAAAGTGAAAAAAACCGATCGTTATCATTTTGAGACGCATTGTGTATATATCGCATTGCCAAACGTTGTGCGGGTAGATCCATTTGGAAGTGGTTAATAGAAACTTCGTAACCCTTTGAGCCAGTGTTTTGCAACTGCCTGCTTCGTGATCTTCGAACGGAATAAAAATAACACAAAACAAATTGCATTATTTCTTTATATTAAAAAAGCTAAACAAAAATAATAAATTTAGCACAGTTTAATAATAATTCATTACATTAATATTATTAGATTATATTATTGGAGAACATTTTTCTTTTCAAACAAGACAGACTAATCAAAATAGCCTCCTGAAAAAGATTATTTTAATCAATAATAGAAATTGAATGATATAAGGTAAGCAAATAGGTGAATTTATAAATTTTACAGAAATGTTAAAAAAACGTATGGAAATAATTAATTACTTCAGTTCGAATTGTTCTAGATCCCTGCTCTGGACACATATTAATATAGTGATGAAAATAATCTAAGGGTTTTTGCCGGTTGGTGCTTTCGTCAGACTCTATGCAGGCTTCTAGTCCATTCAATCCTCCAAAAACTAACAGCACATGTCTAAACAAAAAATGATTCTTAGCGATTCTAACTTTTCATATTAATTATTTATTTAATAACGTTAAAAAATACTAGCTTATATGAAGGCAAGTTGAAACGGTCAATGTTGTCCCCTTTATCTGATGTGCCAATAATGCAGTCATAACCCTCTGGAGCAACAACACTTTTTCCATGGAGTGCTTCGTTTAAATCAGCTGCTAACCTCGTACGATAACCCCAATACAAGCCACTCTTTACTCGAGGCTCACTCCATGGAACTACTGTCCCCGTTAACTTCTTAGCTGTTATTTCAAGAAAATAAGACATTTGGGTTGCAGTGATGATTGAGAAATTATAGTTTTTATCAGGGGTTGGTAAAATATTATAACAAGCGGTTAGGCCTTGGCGAGAGTTGTAAGGTATAATAAAACATGTATGTTGCTACGGGGTAATTAGCATTTTACGTGTATGTTCCATCGTTGATATACCGCCCCTTCCCTATTCAGATATTTAGGCAAAAAATGTTAATTCACAGTTACATGTAGATTGTAAATTCAAATATTGGAAAAAGTTAGTGAAGTTTTTGAACAAGCTCAGACGAGCAATAATTTATGCCCAAACTTTTCTTAAATTCCGAATTCCAATTAGGTATTAGAATTAAAATGTAAAATAATGCAAAAAATAAGTTTTTCAAATGTAAAACTGAATTAGGTTCGTGAGCCATAAAAATTTCCTAGCGGCGGCCCGTGATTTGCCCACCTCTGATTTATGTAAAAATCACCAAAACCGTAATTAATTAAGCTTTATATCTAGTCAGTAGAAAGAGTAATATTTTTAAAATTTAGTCCAACAGTTTCTGAAGTGAAGAAAGTAAATTAAAATCTATAATGTAACAGAACAAAGCAGCAAAACAAAGTGAAATAGTTCTTTCATCATGCTAACCAGCATCTGAGCTATTGTTATGTTTGTTCACTTTAACGGTAACTCTAACTCCATTCTGGATCAGCTTATCCACTTCCAAGTTGTCCTTCAAGCCAACATTCACGTACGACCCATGACCTGGTTTCACTGGCTTGCTCAGTACAACTCCCTCCCTGTACAGCGAGTCATCATGTATTCTCATGTGGTGAGGTGTATCTAGCGGATTCAGGAGTCCTAATAAATGAAATGTATGTTTCTAAATACAATATTCGAAAATTCAAACTATATTTGTGGATAAAAAAATGTACGGAACAGAGCAAAAGAAGCTGTCAATATTAACAGCTAACGTGATTCCTTCCTGCTTCTTTTGACAGTTGAAATGGTAAGAATAATTAACTTGGAAATAAAAAATATACAAAGCCATCGTGGCATAATTTGTTTGAACGAAATAATTATTTATTCAGTTGAAAATAAAATGCTTAAAATGTTAATAAAAACAGACCAGCGAATTGAAGTTCTGGTTGGTGTGGGAAGAATGTTTTTCGAAGGTACTGTGGACAATCAAGATATTGAAGTATTTTGTTCATCATTAAACAACCCTTGCTTTTCGAATTAAGCACTCCATCGCTTTCTTGTTTCCTGTAGATACATTCACACATGCTTACACGCACACATACAAACACACACACATGTGCATGTGTCACACACACATGTGCATGTGTTTGTTGATTGTGATACATTTAACCGTTAGATACTTCGGCTTAACGAAAGTTAGAATATAAAAGCACAGTTTTGTAAAGACGACCAGAGCGCTTTGATGAATATTGTATCAACCATTACTAACAGCTAATTCAAAGAAATCGACCCTAAAGATTAAAAAAGTTAAAATACAGAAAAACGCACTGAATAAAAGAAACAAGAAAAGTGCACGACCAGTTACGACCGAAATCAAAGATGAATCTATGAAAAAAACTCAGTGTGGAAAATTGCAGTAGAACCAGAGCTATGGAACAAAACTGCAGTTGCAACAAACAAGTTTTATCTGGAACAAAAGTGGAGTCGCAGCACAGAAATTTTATTAATCCGATACTAATGCATATATCGTTTTGTCAAACAAGTTTGGACTTTGAATCGCTCTTCATAAATGTCTCAGTAGATGAAACGATGAAATTTATCATTGAAACATATTAAAGCAATGAAAACTGCGTCAACATTAGTGAAGAAAATCTTGAAGAACAACTGCAAATGTATATATTTGAAAAAACAGAATGATGCCACTATTCCACACTCTTCCATTCCAATTTCTAATTCTGCAATCTTCAAGCCTTTTCTTTAACTCTTATTTCAAAACAGTTAAAGAGAAGATATATGACGTCAACAAACCGTCAACATAACGCCCTAACATTGACATAATAGTTGAACTGAAAACCAAAATTAAATAACTGAAAAAAAACAATACGCATACGCATGAACTATAAACAAATATGACAGATTTTCATCTTCCAACTCCTTCAAAGAACTTATACTTCATTCGAAATCACGAATTGCATCCCAAAAGAAAGACAAATAAATACACGAACGGGAAAATAAAAAATATGCTCTGGACCATTGTTGTCATTTAGCAGCAGTATTTTTGAAAAAATATTTAGAGGCAGTGTTCGAGGATGGGTTTTAAAGAAGTTTGTCTCAGTATATTGACAATTATATGGATGATTACAATTAGTTTATGATTAGCAAATAATTCTTTTAAAAACAATCATAACCTGACTTTGTCAAAGAATATGTGTCATCAAAAACAATAATTTCATCGACATTGTATATGACAGCAGCTCTTGCTACCTTGTGTTATACATTGTTTGAAAATTATCATTTACCATAGTAATGCGTTTATCATTAGAAAACCTTATATGTAAGATTATTCATTAAAATCATAAAAAACAAAAACTAACTTGTCCAACCAAATAAGTTTTCAACTCAGCAGACTGGGCATTATTCAATATTGAGCCAGGAACCGCAATGCTTGTTGTAAACAATCGACCTTGAATAACAATATTATTTTTGTTGCATTGACCTATTGATATATATTCTGTAAAAATAGTGAACTTTAACATTTTCAACCACAAAATATTTCATGACAACATTTTTTAGATAGCCATGACTGTCCATATTTGTTTCATTTTGTGAGCGGTTCTAAATATCCCAAAAAAGCACAGATGGATCAGGCAAATATTATTATAATCTTTAAATGATACCACTATTCCACTCTTCCATTCCAATTTCTAATTCTGCAACCTTCAATCACAAACTGGAACCGGAACCTGTAAAACACTCTAACAATAAAAGTGGAGAGGTCAAAGAGACATCCTCAACTTTAGCTTCCAAATGTGTTCTTTCCAAGTGTCTCATCAGTGAACTGATCTATGAAGATGAACAAGAAACATTCATTTGCTAATCAGAAACTCATCCATATCTTGTTGATTGACTAAGCCAGAGCCATGTGCTTGTACTTCATTGAAGGCAGTCTTTCATGCCAAGCAAGTTATTTCAATTTGTTGCGGCACCATTGTGTGAGTTTTTAAAATTTTTGTTCTTAACTTATTTCTATTGTCATTTTTGTCATAAAATTTTAAAATCTAGTTGTCCAATTGTGTAACATTTACCGTCATCGCACCTGATAAAGAGCTGAAAATAATACATACTTATATCAATTATTATTACTGCTTACAACTATTTACCTTAATAAAGATTTGGTCTAAAGCAGTAATTTCCACAAGCTGAAGTGAGGTGTTGTCATTTGGTGTATTCATTTTTCAAATACTTTGCATGTTGTGCTAGTTTTCAAATTATTCCATATTTCCTTAAATTAAGTGTTCGTCTTCATCCTTTAATTGCTCAAGATTTTCCTAAATGTCTAATGTTGTTATCGCAAACACTTTAAATGTTTTCTCAATACACATAAGAGATATTTCACTGAACAAGGTTCTCCAAGATCATCATTACAATGTTCAAGAGTTTTCTGACCCTTTAGTGAGTTGGAATAGATGGTAGGAATCATATCATTGTTGTTCTTGTTGCAAGTTGGCCTGTCTTGCTTGTATACCATTTGCTCATAGATCAAAGATTATTTAGCGCCATGTGCATATGATGTGGTGCTTGACTTCCCGTAATTAATTTCTAGGAACAGTGAAAAACAAGCTTTTTATAATTTTCTAACAAAATACTGAAAAAGATTGGAATGATAAGTGTTAATAATTCCGCCTAGTTTCATCTAATCTAGTTTTATAAATTAATTGATTGAAATTTTGTATCAAAAAGCAAAAAACGCTTCAAAATATTTGTTATAAAAACAAACAGACAAGCTGAAGGAAATGACCAGCAACAAAAGTTCAAATTGAGGCTTGGTTGTCAGTGATCGGTAAATCAAAAAAAATCGAAATTAGTGACAAACAAACTCTTGATCATTGTTCAGTAACTTGTTCAGTAACGTTGACACTTGTTCAGTAAAATATCTCTAAACCTTCAAGTGTGTGTCTTCAAGAACAATGCAGGACTCTTGTCATAATAAAACTTTCAGCAATATGATATTGAAACATTTCCTGCAACAAACCTTGAGTTGATTGATTATTTTCCGCTCTATCACATTTAGCCTCATTTGTTTCTTTAAATTGTTTGTCTAACTTCTTTAGTAATTTTTTTTCCTTCCATTCTGAAATTTCTAATTTTTCTACAAAGAAAAATTATGGAAAAAATAAATTTATCAATCATTTATTAAAATCAAAAACTCAAAAATTTTTTAGTAATTAAATTATATTTGATCTATAAAACTTAAAATTATTTCAATCTTTAAAATTAAAAAAACTATTAAAAGATTTTTAAAAAATTTTTGGTTTATCTTTTTCAGTCTTGTGTTTGTTTCTTCACATGTTATTTCGATACAATCCACAAAAAACATAATGTTATCAAGTTGAACAAATTAAAAACCAGACAAGATATTTTGAAAGTGAGTCTAGCTATAGAATGTAATTTGTTTATTTCACTGGTATATCAAAATAAAATGTGACCAAAAGATGGTTAAAAAAACCAATTACAAGAACTTTGATTAAAAAACACTGTACAAATATTATAAAAAATAGAGCAGTTATAATAACTATTTAGAATTAAAAAGAAACTTGAAATCTTTTTCTTCATCTTGCCTGCATTTGATACTGTCGATCATGGTCATTTACTAAACTATTTCAACAGTCTTTAAACATAAATGATTATTGTCTTACGTTTTATCTTCATGATGGTTACGCACACGTTGTATTAAAAATTTCTATTCCTTCTTCAGTTGCTTCTGGTGTACCTCAAGCTCTATCTTTGGTCCTCTTATTTATATTCTATGTCTCTGAATTGCCTTGTACAATTCTTTTTTTCAATAGTTAACTTATGCAGCTGATTCATATACATGTACCTATTTTTCTAAATCTAATTTACATCAAGTTATTAATAATTTAACATTATGTCTTAACTTTAACACTTCCTGGTGTACCTCTATGTTTCTTAAGCTTAATCCTTCAAAATTTGAACTATATTGTTTTAATAAGTCTAAAAACTATCAATCTTCCTTCTATTACTTTATCTCTAGAACTATCTTTAACTTTTTCTTCTTCTGTACAATGTTCAAGCTTTATCTTTGATTTGGCTATTTCTTTGTCTTCCCAAATGAATAATGTTGCTAAAACTTTTACTTCCATCTGCGTACAATTACAATTAAAACTCTTACTTTTTCTTGTTGATCCTACTCTTCAACTGCTTGTTTTTTCGCTTGTCTTATCTAGAAATGATTATTGTAACTCACTCTAAATGAATGTCGTTGAATGAATGACTTTTAAACTGTTATAGATTATTTCATTCTTTGTTTAATTGACTAGTTGATTGTTTGTATGCTATTTTATATTAATTTTTGCTTGTTTGATTTTTAATGCTTGTCTGATTAGTTAATTGATTTTTAGATGCGTGTGTAACTATAATTCACAATTCGTTTATTGATCAAACCAATAATAATGATTAGACCTGGTGACCTGAAAGATTAAAAATCTTGTAATGGCCATCAGTTCAAAATCGACTTAATACTTGTTTAATTGAATATTGATTCTTGTTTTATGCCTGTTTGATTCTTTGATTTTTTGTACACTTACTTATTAATTTATGGATATTTGATGATAATCATTCATCATCGAGAAAAAAATCACTGATTTAATCAACAACTTACTTCTTTTTCTAGATTCCTTGACTTTATCCATCTGAAAAACTAGTAAAATATAAAAAAAAACAATAATTTTAGAAAAATTAAAAAAAATTATTATTATCACAAATTTGAAGAAAATGATAGGGTAAACTCTAGGGTAAAGTTATAATTATAAAATATCTCTTATTTCAACAGTGGCTCAAGCTTAAACATTAGCTTAGTAAGAAACATTCCAGTAACAGAATTTATTTAGATAAACAGATGCAGGACCAAAAATAAATTCATAATGTCAAAAACATTTTGTTGACAATATACGCAGGAGATTAAAAATTTAATACAGTACAGTAATCTTGGTTTGAAAACACAGGTGCAATGGATTTACAATAAAAATTAGTTCATAGTTTAAAAATGTAACAAAAATATATTATAAAACTAAAACTTTGATTAATAGCTGGTGCATTAACTGACTCTAAAATAAGCTTAGATCTAACATTTTACAATGCTTTTTCAACCACGTAAACATTAATTTAAATTCACATTTGTTTAGGAGGACATCTAACTTTGACTAAAAAAATCTAGTTTATTATTATTATAAGTACTATGATGAAGACTATTATTATTTTTAAAACAGTGCCGTAGCTAGGGGGCCAGTTTGTCTGTAGCTAGAAGATCAGCTTATCAACCTAAAATTTCATAAAATAATTTATAATGACTTTTTAAATGATAAATAATTTAAAAATAATAAATACATTTCATTTAAACTAAATTTACTAAATTAGTATGAAATTTTGCATTTGTAATGATTTTTTCATAAATTTCAAATCTTTGGAAATTTAAATCAGTATAACATCAGTTTGTACACAGGAAAACTATGTTTTAAGAGGAAATACGACCCAAAATCAAAACGTGAACTTGAACTGCAAAATCTTTCCCTTCGTCTAATATTTTTCAAATTTTCTATGAAAATTTTTTTCTGTCTTACTAAAGTATTTAAAATGGATTGCTTCATAATAAAAACAAATCGAGAACGTGAAGCAATCTCAATTTTTTGCAAGAGCCAGCTAGTTGATCATGGATGCAACATGAACAAAAAATTTGGCTTTTCTAATATCGACAGGCAAATAAAAGTTAATACTGACGATCTAGCAAAAAAGGTTGATTCATTCTCTCTACATATCCTAAAAATAGTCAAAAATTTGCATGTAAAACATCTGAACACAAATCTCATAAGTGCCTGGCTTTATACCAGATCTCTAACAGAAAAGTTGAAAATTTTGGTACTATTCCTAACATTCAGAACACAGAGATCAGGTGTACACAGACAATTCAATTTCTAACAAAACAACATGCCAAAATATGCATGAAGTTAGTCAAGAATTTCACACCCAAAAACCTGAAATTTTCACAGCCCTTCTAAGGCTTAGATAATTAAATTTTTATTCACAAAAATTTGTTTGCTTTTTACTTTAGCCATTATGCTCTATAGTGATAGTCGTTAGCATAAGGCTTGAAAAATTGTTTCAACAAAACCCAAGCTTTAAATTTTATTAAAATTTTCATAAGCTTTTCTTAAATATATTTTTTATAAACCCTGAAAATTTCATAGACCCTAGATAATTATTTTACAAGTTATTTAAAACGGTTATTATTTAACAGTTAACAGTTTAACACTCATATTGAATTCCTCTGCCGTGATTGAAATCATTGGTTCCTCACGCACTTCACATCAGAATATAAAAATTGAATTAAAATTTTTTTAAATTTTATTATGACATTGGTTGATGGCACTGCCCTACAAAAACATTTAGTTTTTATTCTTTATTGATATTCAATTCATATTGAATATTGATAAAATTGATTTATATTAAAATTAAATTATGATCCAACTTATATAAATGAAATTTAAAAAAATTAGACATGTTAATTGCATTTCATTTTCACAAAACCGTAAAATAAATGTTAGTCCATACGCGCACGCGCACTTAACGTGGTTGTCAACATTTTCAATTCAACACCATCACCAAAAACAACGTAGGCTTAATTTTAACCTCCTAATTTAATTAATTACTTTTTCGATTTTCTCGTGCCAATCGGCCTCCTACTTTTAAATAGAATAGATCTTCTCTGCTAAACCCGATTCCAAGCCTCAATCTCGGCAGTCAATCTTGTTAAAACACTCGGCTCGAATTTAGAAAAATTAATTAAATTTAATAATGGAATACCGCAACAATCCTATGGAAAGCCCAATGTTTTTATTCTATATATATAACTATATTTTCATATACTTATAATTAGGGGATGCCCATATATATCTCGTATATCATTGTTTACCAATTAAAGCTTAAGAGATGGCAATAATTTGTTTTTTAGTCTTTTCACCGTTAATGTAGAGTTTTAAACTCATGTTCATTGCATCGTTATTGTCTAATTATGCCGAACAGAACCCGAACCGTACACATGACCGAACCAAACCAACCCCAAACCATACTCACGGTCGAACCAAGCCGAACCCGAACTTTAAAAGAAGGTCTCGATTCTCATTTCTGTTTTAATGTACAGTTTGCCTGCTTATTGACTAGTAGAATTAATTAAATTACTATTAAAAAGTTCAGAGCGGATCTCAAGACCCATCTGTTTGCAAAATTCATTGTGGAGCGCTGTTGAACATAGCGGAAATGGTGCTTTATAAACTGAGGGATTGATTGATTGATTGAAAAACTGATTTTGCTTTAATATATTTCAATAATTATTTTTTGCTGATACAAACATGAACTCTTAAAATAATTTGTGTTTTTATAAACTTGTGGTTATTGGAGGTCAACCGTTCATATAAAAACCGCGATGAAACATGCTTGGCCAATTTTTTTCAATAAAAATGGCTTTTTAACAAAAAATCAAAAAATTATTTAAAAATCGATTGAAAATGTTACAACTATAGCTTTATATAAATGAAATCAATTTCTGGTAGATAATTAGACTTGCACAGGCCAACTATTTGTTGGCAAATTTTTTTATAATAAAAATGGTTGTTTAATTAAATATCCAAAAATATTATCAAATCTATTCTTCAAAATTTTAGAACCAGTTATAAAAGACGCATGAAGAGTTGATACAGACAAATCGAGCGTTGTCTAAATCTTTTTTGGGTTTTGCTGTTACTGGTTGTGATGTTCTTGGTGGTGATGTTAATGGTCGCGTGGTTACTGGAGAAGGCGAGCTTCTTTTGGTGGTTAATATAAAGAAAGTTGAACCATATTTTTCAGTTGTAAAATAGTCTTCCGTTGTATTTTCAACTCGTGGCGTGCCATTGTTGAAATAAACTGTTGTTGGGTTTTCAATTCGTGGTGTGCTATAGTTGAAATACACTCTTGTTGTATTTTCAAGACCTGGAGTGCTATAGTTGTAAAAAACTCTTGTTGTGTTTTCAAGTCCTGGAGTGCTATAGTTGTAATAAACTCTTGTTGTGTTTTCAAGACCTGGAGTGCTATAGTTGAAATAAACTCTTGTTGTGTTTTCAAATCCTGGAGTGCTATAGTTGAAATACACTCTTGTTGTATTTTCAAGACCTGGAGTGCTATAGTTGTAAAAAACTCTTGTTGTGTTTTCAAGTCCTGGAGTGCTATAGTTGTAATAAACTCTTGTTGTGTTTTCAAGTCCTGGAGTGCTATAGTTGAAATAAACTCTTGTTGTGTTTTCAAATCCTGGAGTGCTATAGTTGAAATAAACTCTTGTTGTGTTTTCAAATCCTGGAGTGCTATAGTTGTAATAAACTCTTGTTGTGTTTTCAAATCCTGGAGTGCTATAGTTGAAATAAACTCTTGTTGTGTTTTCAAATCCTGGAGTGCTATAGTTGTAATAAACTCTTGTTGTGTTTTCAAGACCTGGAGTGCTATAGTTGAAATAAACTCTTGTTGTGTTTTCAAATCCTGGAGTGCTATAGTTGAAATACACTCTTGTTGTATTTTCAAGACCTGGAGTGCTATAGTTGTAAAAAACTCTTGTTGTGTTTTCAAGTCCTGGAGTGCTATAGTTGTAATAAACTCTTGTTGTGTTTTCAAGTCCTGGAGTGCTATAGTTGAAATAAACTCTTGTTGTGTTTTCAAATCCTGGAGTGCTATAGTTGAAATAAACTCTTGTTGTGTTTTCAAATCCTGGAGTGCTATAGTTGTAATAAATTCTTGTTGTGTTTTCAAGACCTGGAGTGCTATAGTTGAAATAAACTCTTGTGTTTTCAAGTCCTGGCGTGCTATAGGAGGAAATAACTGTTGTTAGCATCATTACAACTAAATGCAATGATCCGCAAATGTTAATGCTTGATAGTGATGCCATTGTTGATGATGTTTTCTCTTAACAACCTGATTCTCCAAAAAAATGTTTAAAAATCACGTTACCTCCGAAAAAATTTTGTTATATATATACATATATATAAGTTATAATGTTGAACATGCATCTACATACATTAGATTCGCACATGTGTATACATACATACATACGAACATACTTACATACATACATGCCTGCCCACAGGCATGCATGCATACATGCATATACAGACACACATGCCCATACTTACGCACATACACATAAAATCACACACACATACCCATATATAATTTCATAATGTGAAATAACTAACTGAAATTATCTGATTGTAATTACAATTTTCAAATGTCAAATGGTCAGATCTTGAACATTGAGACGAATTCGTTGAAAAGCTTCTTATCGAATTAGTAATAAATCACCAAACCCACACTTCAATAAAGTATTCGATTTGTTATATTATGGATCGTTAAATATTTTTATTATACTATTTTATACTATTTTTTACACTATACTGTTCTATATTATATTATATTACATTACATTGCATTACATTACATTACACTATATTACATTATATTATATCATATTATATTTTATTATATTTTATTACATTACATTACATTATATTACCCTATATTATATTATTTTTATTAAAATTATAACTCTCTCAAAGTAACGAAAAATTATTTACAAGATCCTGTTTCAAGATTTTCAAGAGGTTTTTACTGAACTTTATTGAAGTATGGGTTTGGTGAATTTTATTAAGTGGTATCACTTAAAATGCAAATCAATTTAGTATTAATATTCGCTTTTTAAATAGTTATCTCAAAAGCGCTCTTAACATTGGTTAAAACAATTTATGCCAAAAAAACGTTTCATTGATCGAAGAGATAAGTCTTTAATGGCTTTTTAAAATTCTTGACGGAGAGACCAGGTTGTCGTAAGTAGCCCGGTAGACTGTTCCAAACTTCTGGGCCAGCAATAGAAAAATTTCTTGAACCAATTTTTAAACGTGATGATGGATAGTCCACCAAGTTTTTATTGTTACGACGTAAATTTTATGGTTTTGAAAACGTCGCTTTAGAAGTGCTTCTATCAGCTAAATATTTCGGAGCCAGTCAAGCGATATTTTAAATGTAACTCTTTTATCAACCTTCAACTAATGTAGTTCTCAAAATATTGAAGTCACGGGGTCATATTTTGCAGCTCCCACGACAAGCTTGGCAGCAAGGTTTTGAATGAGCTGAAGCATAGATATCATTTTGTCAGATAGACCAAAGAACAAACTATTGCATTCATCTAACCTCACACGTACAAATGCATGAATCAAACTTTGGACTATATCTCTTTGAAGCAATTTTTTAACTATCCTCAACATGCGCAAATGATTCAAGCAGTGTTTGTAATGTATTTTACGTGATGATGCATTGTTAACTGGGTTCAGGATGCAACCCCAATTGACAACCTTGGAAGAAAATTTATTCTCCTTGTCATTAATGATAGCTGAATCGATTTTAATTTTTGAGAACTGTTGCCATGTTCCCATCGGCATTAATTGTGTTATACATTGGTTTAACTTTAAACGGCTGCTAAACATCCAAACATCTATTTTCACCAGATATTTAAAGAATTTGTTCAACATAACTGGGAATTCACTAAATGGTCCACTAACATTGATCTAGATATTATCAGCATAAGCGTGACTATAGGAACCAAATAAATCAATTAACAAAAAACCATCTGCCGTGTATAACACGAATAATAATAAGGGCCCTAAGACCTAGCCCTTGCACACCGGTAACGACTTGTAGCATATCTGACAAATTGTTATTAAGCAACACTTGTTGCGTTCGATCCGCCAAGTAAGACTGAAACCAACAAATTTTTTTTTTATTATTCTTTAAAAATCGGGATCTGACAGACGCAGAAACTGTAACAACATGCAAGGCAGAAAAACAAAATTAAACAAATAAGTGTGAAAATAAATACAAAAAGTGAGGAAGAGAAATGATAAAACATGAAAAATAAAATATGTTAGAATAAAATAAATAATAATAATAAGAAGAATAAAAGAAAAGTAATTGACGATGGAATATAAAATGAAGTAACGGCAAATTGATAGACTAGATGATGACTTAGTGACTTACCATGATCGACGCAATCAAACGCTGCCTCATGTTCGAAAGCGCCAAGATAGAGATATTTTTTGTATCTGCCATTGAAAATAATGTAGACAAAATATCCAACAAAGCTGTCTCTGTCGAGTGATGTTGTCTGAATGTTGACTGATGCACAATTTTGTTCTAAATGGCTAATCAGTTCATTCCATAATTTTTAAAATAACCGGAAGTAATTTTTTCATCGCTTGTTCCAACCCATTTTTTTAAAAAGAGGAATCACCAGGACATGTTTGTACAAAACAAGACATTTTTCAGTACTTTTGCATCAGTTGATAAAACNTGGTGACAAACTTTGAAAATAAGTTAAAATGCTTCTTGAAACAGTGGGCAGGCAAGCAGTCGAGATTATAGGTTTTAGACGGCGAATTAAAAATTAATTGTTTTATATCATTTTCGGTATAGTCAGCAAAGGCTGAAAATACTTTGTTTGTAACGGAAATTGCTCCATTACATGGCCACGTGGGCTAGTTACTAGCACAAAGCACGAGTGCTTACCTAGGAGAAAGCGCCGTGCAAGTCTATCAATAGCCGGCACAAATGAGTTAAGCTCTCTTTCTTTTCTGTCGCTCTTGTGCCGGAGTTGACATTAGTAAAGTTGGTTATTTTATCGTTTCATTTTCGTTAATTTGATTTACTCGATTAATTAAATAGTTAGGTTTTAATAAAGAAAAATTAATAATATATTGGTTGTTGCGTTGTAATTAATATCGAACCCGTTACATCGACGCAATCAAACGCCTCCTCATGTCCGAAAGCGCCAATATAGAGATCAATTTTGTATCTGACACTGAAAATAATGTAGACAAAATATCCAACAAAGCTGTCTCTGTCGAGTGATGTTGTCTGAATGCTGACTGATGCACAGGTAACAAACAATTTTGTTTTTAATGGCTAACCAGTTTATTCCATAATTTTTAAAATAACCGGGGAATATGAGACGGGTCTGTAATTTTTTTCATCACTTGTATCCAACCCATTTTTTTAAAAGAGGCATCATCAGGGCATGTTTGTACAAAACAAAAAATTTTTCAGTATCTAAATATCAGTTGATAAAACTGGTGACAAACTTTGAAAATAAATTAAAATGCGTCTTGAAACAGTAGGCAGGCAAGCATTCGAGATTGCAGGTTTTAGACGGTGAATTAAAAATTATTTGTTTTATATCATTTTCGGTATAGTCAGCAAAGGCTGAAAATACTTTGTTTGTAACGGAAATTGCTCCATTACATGGCCACGTGGGCTAGTTACTAGCACAAAGCACGAGTGCTTACCTAGGAGAAAGCGCCGTGCAAGTCTATCAATAGCCGGCACAAATGAGTTAAGCTCTCTTTCTTTTCTGTCGCTCTTGTGCCGGAGTTGACATTAGTAAAGTTGGTTATTTTATCGTTTCATTTTCGTTAATTTGATTTACTCGATTAATTAAATAGTTAGGTTTTAATAAAGAAAAATTAATAATATATTGGTTGTTGCGTTGTAATTAATATCGAACCCGTTACATCGACGCAATCAAACGCCTCCTCATGTCCGAAAGCGCCAATATAGAGATCAATTTTGTATCTGACACTGAAAATAATGTAGACAAAATATCCAACAAAGCTGTCTCTGTCGAGTGATGTTGTCTGAATGCTGACTGATGCACAGGTAACAAACAATTTTGTTTTTAATGGCTAACCAGTTTATTCCATAATTTTTAAAATAACCGGGGAATATGAGACGGGTCTGTAATTTTTTTCATCACTTGTATCCAACCCATTTTTTTAAAAGAGGCATCATCAGGGCATGTTTGTACAAAACAAAAAATTTTTCAGTATCTAAATATCAGTTGATAAAACTGGTGACAAACTTTGAAAATAAATTAAAATGCGTCTTGAAACAGTAGGCAGGCAAGCATTCGAGATTGCAGGTTTTAGACGGTGAATTAAAAATTATTTGTTTTATATCATTTTCGGCATAGTCAGCAAAAGCTGAAAATACTTTGTTGTTAAAATCAACAAAAGCAACTGATGGTGGATCACGGGATGCTATAGATTTCATAACCTTGACAATTTTGTCATTAAAAAAAATTTAGAAACGACTGCGCCGATCTGGACAAGATGCAAATGCTTTGTCTTTACACAGCATTTTATTTAGAATTCTCCAGAGCTGCTTTTGATTGCACCTTCCATAATTGATCTGTCTTTTGTAATAACTATTTTGCTAATTTGAGAAAAGACGTTTTTTTTAATTTAATCATCAATTCATTCTGTTTTATTTTTAACCAACAAAGTTTTTCTAAAACGTCTTTCCATCATTCTGCAGTTAGATTTTGAACGACGACATTCATTGTCGAACCAAGGATCCTGTCTGATTTTAATAAAATGTTGGGGTGCAACAATATCGACGATGCGTTTGAGCTCTTTTTCAAACAAGCCCAAAAATGCATTAACATTACTACCCTGACATGGTTTACTGATGAAGAAATCAAGAACTAAATGGGTGAATTGATCTCCATGAATTTCATTTCAGGATCAAACTTGTCTTTTGCAACAGATTCTACACGGCAAATCAATTGGCAAAATCTGTTGAATTAGACAGTGGTCCAAATAAATACCATGAGGTGATACTTTAGTGTTGGAAACAGGAAATTTTTTAGATGTCGCGATCAAATCTAATGTGCTCCTTTTTAAACATGTTTGTTCATTGAATATATTTACTAGATTGAAAATGTCCAAAATGTCTAGCAGAAAAACTGTGTGAAAATCATTTTTATTTTCTACGTAGATGTTGAAA